AAATATTGTATAGAATATACTTATATTAAAAAATACTCATAGTTTATCTGAAATTCAAATATATCCAAGCATCTTCTAATTTTCACAACAGCTCCACTTGCTCCAACAGCTCCACATGGGTACATTCTACATGAACATAGTTGAGGATGCCAAGAAACCATAAATGGTTCTAGAAGTTAAGTAGTTGTGTAGTCTGGGACATGTAACTTCATCTATCTGAACTGAAATTTCATCTTCCATAAATGTGATTAAATAATACTTACATGAGTTCTTTTATCTTTATAGAGATTAGATAGCCTGTCTTATGAACACTAGAAACATAATAAATTTCCATTAAGGGATAGCTGTTATTGTCAGCGTAAGGAAATATAGAACAACAGAATATGTTTCCTCTGCTTTCATACCACAGCAATCATAGCAGGAGACTTCACTGACCTCAAAAGATATAGCCATTTCTCCCTAGTACAATGCATCCTGCAGTGTGGACAATAGCTGGATGGATGTTCTCTGATCTCTGACACCACCCACTTGGAGATAGATTCCAAAGTTTGAGGTTTTAGTCACCAAGCCTATTTCTCTTCCCACTTCAGAAGCCAGGCCAGCCCTTGTTTTATGTCTCTGACCCTATCCTTCCTTAGAATAGACTAATTTCCTGAAGTAGTTCATGATATTCTAGATAACATTTTTACCAGCTTATAGCGCACTACGCCCGTCTGCGCTCTATGCGCCACAATATAGTTCGTTAATCGGGCAAGGGGCTGGAGATTGAAACACACAAAGACTCACAGAGAGACAGAGACACCGGTCATCCTTGAAACAAGAACGCCCCAAGTATGCCCCCTTTATTGTGTACCAGAGCCGATTATATAGGGATCCTTAACTGATAGCCACGCCCCAGCCAACCCCACCAGAAACCACTCTCCTGCCATCAGGAACTCCTGAGGGTCTCGTGCTCAGAGCAGCTGCAGGCTGTCTCAGAGCAGAGGAAAACAAGTAGTTTACAAAAAATTCAGGATCTGGAGGTTTACTGCTCCCAACACCAACTTACTGTTAACAATACTTGAAAAGATACAAATAAACAAGCAGTTGAAATGATACACAGGAGGAAACTTGGCCAACATCAAGTGCAGAATCTTCTGTGAGACGAGCCACTCTCAATTTATAGATCCATTAGCATACCAAATGCACAACTACTTTTGTCATCTCAGGGATTTTAGGATTTTAGGATGTTGTAAGCATACTAGGATTATAGCTTCCTGAAAGAAGCTCTGGGTCCAGTTCCCAGGTCCACTTAACATCATGGGGTACTGGAGTGTCTATGCTTTATGTTCCCAACACTGAGAAGGGAGCTTCAGAATGAACAGAAGTTCAAAGCCATCCTCTAAACATATGAAGTGTATGACTAGCCTGTGACACAGAAGATCTTTTCACACACACACAAACACACACACTAAAGAGGAAGGGAGGAATGGAGGGAGGGAGGGACAGAGAGAAGGAGGGAGGAAAGGAGGGGGGAGGAAGGGAGGGGGGAGGAAGGGAGGGAGGGAGGGAGGGAGGAAGGGAAGAAGGAAAAAGTTGCATTAAAAAGATGACAAATGAAAGTTACCAGGTCCAAATCAGGAGCAGAAGGAGAGCGAACATGAGCAAGGAACTCAGGACCGCGAGGGGTGCACCCACACACTGAGACAATGGAGATGCTCTATCGGGAACTCACCAAGGCCAGCTGACCTGGGTCTGAAAAAGCCTGGGTTAAAACCGGTCTCACTGAACATAGCGGACAAGGAGGACTACTGAGACATCAAGAACAATGGCAATGGGTTTTTGATCCTACTGCATGTAGTGGCTTTGTGGGAGCCTAGGATGTTTGGATGCTCACCTTACGAGACCTGGACGGAGGAGGGTTTTCCTTGGACTTCCCACGGGACGGAGAGCCCTGATTGCTCTTTGGGCTGAAGAGGGAGGGGGATTGGATTGGGGGAGGGGGAGGGAAAGGGGAGGCGGAGGTGGGGAAGAGACAGAAATATTTAATAAAGAAAGAAAGAAAGAAAGGAAGAAAGGAAGGAAGAAAGAAAGAAAGAAAGAAAGAAAGAAAGAAAGAAAGAAAGAAAGAAAGAAAAAAAAGAAAGTTACCAGGCTATTTCTCCACCTTAATAAATTTGTTGAAAAGCCCCCTTGTGACAGTATTCTTCAACTGAAATACCAGAGTCCACCTGGATCTTGGTAACTGTTTAGCATGTAAAATATTTGACCAGTAATAAAGTAATAATGATAATAATAATAATAATAATAATAACACACAGGCACCGGCCACCTTTCTGTTTTCTGCTGCTTACCTCCTTTCATGTAACTTACCAGAAATCATGCAACTTCTTCATCTTATGGCCAAAATATATAATGTCTTTTCTTATTGTTTTCCTTTTTAGGGCCAACTTTTGCTTTCTGGCCTTTACCAAATATTTATTTTATAATATTCATTTTTATTGGAAGATAACTTGATAGAGCATAAATTCTTTTCCCATCTTTTGGAGTTATTTTTCTTTTCTTTGGTATTTTTAATGTTCTTAAGAAATACGTGGTTTGTAAATATTTCTCCCATTCTGAGGGCATCTCTTTACTTTCTTAAGTGTCGTTTTCTTCTTATTATTATTTAATTAATGAATGAACTTTGTGAGGCAGGGATTTAACCTAGGGCTTTGTGCATAGCAAGGACGACATCTACCACTGTGCTATCCTGTCAGACCAACTGTGTCATTTGATGAGCAATTTTTTTTAAGTTTGATGAAATTTCATCTATTTTTAATATTGTTTCATGTGCTTTTTGTGCTACATTTACATTGCCTTCTCTCTCATCCTTGAAGAATAAAACAAATACTAAATATTGAATGAAAAGACAAGGATTACCTACTTACCCTTCAAACTGCATAAATGTCTGATCCTGGCTAAATACTTAAAAATTGTTTAGAAGTTTCCACATTTAGAAAAGGTAAACTGATTCTGAGTCAGAAGTAGGTAGTATTCTAATTATTATTAATTTGTTTATTTTTACAATTTCATACATGTATGGAGTACGCTCTGGTCATACTAACCTTCCACCTTTTCTGAGCCTCTTCTGTCCTCACCAGCTCCCCCCCACCTCTCACCAAGTCCCTATTCTATTTTCAAGTCTTTTATTTTGTTTTTGCTTTATAGCATATTAAGATTAAGCAGGGCTACTCATGGTGGAATAGACATAAAGCTGTTCACTGGTTTCTGAGTAACCCACTAGTGGCCACAGCACGTTACTCCTGAACTCACAATAACTATTGTTGCATCCACAGAGCCTGCATAAGACTGAGCCCATCAACACTGATCCACAGATGGGACAAACCTGGGGAATCTAATGGCAGTCTATGGCTGCTGAGGGAGAGGGAAGTCATGGTTTTCTGTTTTCATTAGACAGGGTTTCATAGTCCTTCATACTTTCCATAACTTATGTTCTTCTTTCCCTCCATTTTGGGGTATTTCCTTTGTCTTGGAGGAGCTAATATGTGCATCCCATTTAAGGCTGAGTACTCCCTGGTCACTTATTCTCTGGATTTTCTTTCTGAAATGCCTTGTTCTCAATTTGGGCTTGTTTGCCCTTCCAGTGACATTTGGCAGTCTTAAGCGACCTATTTGATTGCCACATTGTAAGAGATGCTATTTGCATCGAGTGAGTAGAGGCCAATGATGCCATCAAACATCTTCCAATGCATAGGCCAACCCCTATAACAAGAACAACAGAAGTCATCTCATCCAAAATGACAGTAGTACTAATATTGAGAGACTGCACTGGAATGTAAAATTGAACTTTAAACTTTAAGTGGAAATCTTGGATTCTGTCTACAGTAGCCAGATAGTTGTGTGCTCTTAGCCTAATGTGTGGAGTATTTGCCTAACTAGGATAATAGATGCCACAGTGGTAAAAATCAGGTAGATTTTATAGGACAAAATCAATTCTTTCACTCCAGGAGAATTGTTTAGAGGAGTTTTCAGGAGTATTTTAAACTATTATGCCCTTTAACATGAAGAAAAAATTCAGTGTAGATTCAGATTCCTCAAGGCAAAAACCACATAAATGTATTCTTGGGTTTCCTTTATCTTCTTATTTTTATACTTGCTGGAACAATATAGTTTTAGGGAAAGTAAAAACCTTACTAAAGTATAAACATAAGCACATACTATGAAGTATAGCTAATCAATCATAATCGAAAGAAAGCAAAACAAAACATGAAGGAATGAACTCATAGTTAATGTGTCTTTTAAGTAGTGACTTATCTGAGCTACAAGGAAGCTGACATTATTTCATCCGGTCACTTTGCTTCAACTTTCTCTGATATCATGTACAGGAATGTATTCATTCACTGGAATTCCATAAATATCAAAGAGCTTGAAATCTCTCATCATTTCCAACAGTCTCACCATATAAAATGCTCTAAAACTTGCAGGTGATTGTTTCACATCCTGCATCATTAGGTGTAATCATTCCACCAGCAACACAACCACCTCCTCATCGCAGACGAAAATACCTTGATTATAATGTATTAGGTTCTGTTGGAAGTACTTCAAGTGTTCATCTCATTTCTCATCACAAATATCCTAGGAGGTAGATTTTTTTAACCCATTTTGCAGATAGCAGGAAAAATTTCAATAAGAGATGAAATTCTTACTTTGTATATCAAAAATAGTTCATATTTTAACAATGAAGAAAGTATTTTCATTGTTAAAGCTACAACATAGATAACCGTGTTTTCCTGCCACAACACATAATGAGAACTGAAAAGGTTATTTTCAATATTTTTCCAGAATAGATGTCTTAAGGCTAATTATTTGTCTCTGTCAAGAAACAGTATATGCCCACACTCTGAGACTGCTATGAAAATTTCTCATTTCTGCAAACTTGTAGAAATTTTAAACTGCACACCTTCTCTGTTATATAGTATGTAGAAAATAGACTTGATTTATTTTATTTTTGTCTTTAGGAAGCACTGAAAGAAAACCATAAGAGAAAAGAAATGGAAGAGAAGAGTAGGAGGGCAAAACTTGCAAAAGAGAAAGCTGAACAAGAGAAGCTGGAACGCCAGAAGAAGAAGAAGCAGCTCATTGATATAAACAAAGGTACAAAACCATTTCCAATGCTTTGAGTAAGCTGTAACAGCACAGGCCTGCAAGGCATGAAGATTGCTGTGTCCAGATCATTTGTTGAAGCTTAGTGAGACTTTATCTTAAAATTAATTCATAGTATAACATACTAATATATATATATATATATATATATATAAGGCCTGAGCATATTGCTGAGTGATGTGGCATTTACTTAGCATGCACTTTTCCCTAGATTCTATCTTCAATCCCCCCACCAGAAAAGCAATTGAATATTACGAAGATGCATACAGTAAAAAGTGATTTGATTTTTAATTTTTTTTAATTATAAATTGATATCCTTCTTGAGAGGAAACTCACACTATTACTACTTTTTTCTCTTAGATTTCTCTCGCGTTGCCGTTTTTATTTCTTATCCTTCTCCACTAGATTCTGCGAATTATGTGTAATCAATATGAGGTATATATTGTTGACTTCTTGTTTTTTTTATTTATTTGTTGTGATAATGTGTTGTCGAGAAGGCCATCATGAAGGAAGAAGAGCATGAGATAAGAAGTGAAAAGCTGGATAGGGAGATGAGGTTCAGACCTTCATTTCACTTTGTAGGCATGTATCTGTTGACAGTACCGTGACAACGGTCCTCCTTGGGGACTTGTACATTTCAAGTCATAATAAATATTGACAGCAGTATTACCAGTGTGTGTGTGGGGGGGACTACTGCAAAGCATCTTGCTCAGCTGTACGTATTCCTGGTGCATTCACAGTAGTATCCACTGCCTGTTCTCTCAGCTAATAAGAATGGCCATATGTTAGAGGTAGGTGGGTTTTTTTTTTTGTTTTGTTTTTTGTTTAGATTTTGAAGAACAGGGCAAATGCTCAGAATGGTGGCATAGATCTATATTCACAGGACTGAGGAAGTAGAAATAGGAAGATCAAAAAAGTAAACCCAGACTAAGCTACAGAATGAATGATACTTTATCTAAAAACAGATGAGGTGGTGACGGGCCAGGTGGACAGAGACAAAGCAAAGTGGTACGGACTCAGGTGTCTGCACTGAAAAGTTAAGCGTGGAAGGCATGGCTGTTTTCCTTAAGAAAGTAGCATTCACAACAGGGAGAAAGGAGACACCTCTCTCTCAGGACAAAAAGGTCCACAGGGTTAAATTAATACAAACCCACATCTGATCAAGATACAATGTAGTATGCTTGATATTGGAGCAATTTTTGCTGTATTTAGCAATAATAAAAAAGTAAGCACTTTTATAACATTTATCATATAACAAGCATTATTCTGAGATTTAATACATTCTTAGAAACATTTCAAGTCAATCTTTCTATTTCTATGCAGTGGATACTGTAACTGTCTCATTGGTTGGATAAGAAACTGAGAGTTGTACAGTTTAAGGAATTTTGCCCCAATAGGGTACACAAACAACAAGTATTAGCACTGAAATAGAATGGAAGTTGTCTGACTACAGAATTTCCACACTTATCCTTGCCTCTATCTATCAGCATTAATAGCAACTGTTCTGTAGCATTTACAAAACAGACATTTGATGGTATTGGCCCATGTGCTTATGGAAATTGACAAGTCCAGAATATACAGGGAAGGACTACAGGCTAGAAATTCAGGGGACAGCAAAGTCTAAGACTGCTTTTCTTCTCGCTTGAGTAAAATTTGTCTTTTCCTATTACTAAGATGTTCAGTTGGTCAGTGAGATCCATTGTTGTAAGAGAATGCAATCTGCTTTATTCAGGCCCATCAGTTTGTAAGTTAGAATCTTCCAAAAATATCCTCACAGAAACATCCAGGATAATGTCTAACCAAATTTCTGGACCTTGTTGCTCAGTCAAGTTGACACATAAAATTAAGCATCACAAGAAGAGTATCAAAAAGTCGAGCTGGCGGTCTCTGGTGATTGCTTACATGTAGGAACTGAGAGATGAAGGCACCGAAGAAAGAAATATATTCACAAAAAGGAACATTCAATAATAAGACAGATTTAGTTGTGAGGGTTACATGAGTAATATCATTTGACCATGTTCAGTTTTCAATTGCCTTGGAAAGCAACCTTTAAGAAGGAGTTATTTAAGAAAAATTTTTAAGAAACAACTCTATGCATGAAGATGAAACCTAGGAAATCAATCTAAACTGCATGTGTATAGTTTTGTTTGAAGATTGGAGTTGAGAAGTATTAGTTTACTAGAGATGCTGTAAGAAAATGCTATAAGCTGGTACTTTAAAACAACAGATCTATTCCACATCTGGAGGCTCGAAGTCCAAGATCAAAATGTCAGCAAAGATACATTGCTTTGGAAGACACTAAATCCTCCCGTCACCTAAGTATTTACCAATCTTTCACTATTTCCCTAAAAATTTACCTACTAAGATGTGGCTAATTATCTCCTCTAGTATCATTGAAAGCTGTGTTAAAAATTCAAATAAGTTTTTTCTGTGTATGCTGAGCTTGAGGGACGTGACCATAAAAGATGCATTTTAAAATAGAATTTATCCAAGCAAGATGGGTGGCTTAGTGGTTAAGATTGCATTCTAGTCTCTCAGAAGATCCAGGATCAGTTCGTAGCATCCACAACCACCTGTAATTCTAGGTCCAAGTGACATTATGCCCTCTTCCAACCTCCATGGGCACTGCATTGACCCATGCACCAACCCACTCTTAAACATGAATGTAATTTTAAAATGAAAAGAATATTTATCTTTTAAGGTCTGCAACTATATGTGAATCAAAGAAATAGTAAGCTTTAGTATTGGCTGTTTAACTTGTGGCCTATTTCATATATATATATATATATATATATATATATATATATAACATTTCAGTAGTATTTTATGTGTTGGCTATGTTTATACTTCAGAATAAATTTTGAAAGACATCCCTCTAAGATTATGCAGGTATAGTTTAAGTCATGAGAATAAGAAGATGCAGAAAAGGAAGAAGAATATTGTCATATGTCAAGATGGAGCTCCATGCATCACATAAATATGTATAATTTTATCAAAGGAAACAATGTTTAAGTGCCAATTACTATTATTTTATAATTGGACATTGCATATATGTATGTAATTATAACACTGTACCCTGTAAATGCATACAGTTAAAATAATAACTGAGGAACAGGGGATATAGTTCGGTAGTCAAATCTTGTTTCCCACTTGTAAGACCTTGGGTTCTATTTTCAGGACCACAAAACTAATAATAACTAAAGAAAAATTGTAATTTAACTAAAACTACATGCATTTACTACCAGTTTTTAATGACTACACTTGTTAACATTTTATTTTTTTGTATAAATTTAAGAAAATGACAATTTTTTCATTTTTTTTCTTTTTTAAGTGATTGTATTGAGCTATACATTTTTCTCTGCTCCCCTCCCATCCTCTTCCCCCCCCTTCAACCTTCTCTCATGGTACACATGTTCCCAATTTACTCAGGAGATCTTGTCCTTTTCTACTTCCCATATAGATTAGATCCATGTATGTCTCTCTTAGGGTCCTCATTGTTGGAAAATAACAAATTATTATAAACCTTCCCATGAGCTCATAAAGCTACTAGATAACAACAATGAACTATAGTAGTCTGCCATGCAAAACTATATGCATTTATTATGGAGAAATGTATTGAGATTTAATTATTCACAAAGAATAAAATAATTTTAACAAAATGTTATGTTTGAAATCTAGATATCATCAACTGAGTTCAGAAATAAGTAGAGATATCACAAAAGCCAAGCAGAAAAATGTTAATGTTCAAAATAGAACCATAAATATATCATCCATCAAATCTCTATTTTTAGAAACCTGGATATCAGAAGGCAAAAGTCATGACAGGAAACCATACTTTTTATTGTAAATGAGAAATTAGGTATTGTATGATAAGGCTGTAATTTGTGAACACAGTTAAAAAGTGATTTCTGACCTCTTTGCTTGTATTCTCACTCCTCTCTCTCTTCGACTGGACTTTGGGAGTTCAGCCCAATGTTCTGCTGTGGTTCTCTGCATCTGCTTCCATCAGTTGCTGGATGTAGGTTCAATGATGGCACTTGAAATAGTCATCAATCTGACTACAGGGCAAGACCAATTCAGGCATCCTCTCCACTAATGCTTAGGGTCTTAACTGGGGTCATACTTGTGGTTTCCTGGGAATATCTCTAGTGCTAGGTTTCTTCCTAGCCCTATATTGGCTCCCTTAATCAAGATAAGTCTTTCCTTGTTCTCCATCTCTGTCTTTCCTCCATCTCTACCGTTCCATTCCCTCTAGAAGTCAAGAACATCATAAGGATACCCACTGAAACAGCTTACCTGAGCTAATGGAAACCTCCCAACTCCAACCTGACAACAAGGGAACTAGCAAAGGACCAAATTAGGTCCTCTTAATGTGGGTGACAGTTATATGGCTGGCGCAGACTGTGGGACTACTGGAAATGAGACAAGGAATTTATCCCTACTGCTTGTTCTGCCTTTTAAAAACCATTCTTTCTGGAGGGATACCTTGCTCAGCCAAGATATAGTGGGGAGGGCCTTGGTCCTGCCACAAAGCCATGTGCTAGACTTTGTTGATTCTCCATGGGAAGCCATACCCTCTCTGAGGAGAGGATGGGAGTGGGTTGGGGGAAAAGTGGAGTAAGCAGGAGTAGGGGAAGAAGTGGGAAATGGATTTGGCATGTAAAATGAGAAAAAATAGTTTTTTAAAAAAAATTAAAAAGTGATTTCTGTGTTAAGAAGTGGTCTATTTTACCTCCACCACCTAGTTTTATGTTCATATTCTCTTCCTGTATTTGTTCAAGCTTCAGGTACCTCAGCTATAATATAGGACAATGGCATTTATTTGCTATAGTTTTTAGTAAAGATTAAATGAGATAATGAAGTATAATAACACAGGGCCTAGCATATACTCAATGTTGATGCTAATGAATCATTTAATGCTCATTGAAGAATCTGAAAAATGTGCAAGGAATTGTTCCCACCTTTAAGAAATTTTCAGTTTTGTCAAAGAG